AGAAGAAAGGTGGTGATGATGTAGGTGGTGATGATGTAGTACTCAAGTATGATGTTAACAAGACAGGAGAACATGGAGTTGTGCTAATCATAAATAATGTCCACTTTGAAGGGAAAGATATAGGTGATCGTAAATCATCATATGAAGATGCAAAAAGATTAAAAGAAGTATTTGAGGGTCTTCGCTATCAAGTGGTAGTTCAAGAAGACTTAAAAGCTGAAGAAATAAAGACAAGAATTAGAGGAATTGCTGCTGGGTTAGTAACCAAGAAACACGATAGTTTCATATGTTGCATTCTGTCCCGTGGTAATTCTGAAGGAATTGAAGGAGTTGATCATAAAACTGTTACTGTGCCTGAATTGGCTAATATTGTAAATTCTAAGGAATGTTCAGCACTTCATGGAAAACCCAAAATATTTTTGTTTCAAGGTGATAGAGGGACTGAAATACCAGAACCTTCAACTGTTGATTCGTCTATGCCATGGCCTCCAAAAGAAGAAGAGAAGGTTGCTGATGGTACTGCTCGAGCATTACCACCAGAGGCTGATTTCTTGTTTGGTTTTAGCACGTCTGATGGTAACGTTGCTGCAAGAGGTGTTTACTCTGGCTCACAATACATAAAAGCAGTGTGTGAATTTCTTGATCCCAAATATTCTTCAAGGCTTAGTCTTGATGAGCTCTTACTTCTTGTTAATGACAAAATATCAGGGAATCCTATTGATTTCAAATTGTTGCCACCGTATAAGTATCATCAAATGCCTGAGATCAGAAGCACTTTGAGAAAAAAATTTTACTTTAAAAAATAACCCAAGTGTTTTATTTTTTGTTGCAACTAAAGATTTAAGTGTGCATTTTTTATTATAACTTTGTACTACTATAGGCTCTTGAACACCTTTTTTCGGTATAGATCTATACAAAAATAATTTACTAGATTGGATGCTGAAAACGTGAGATAGTTTCAAAAATTCAATTTAAGTACATGATTGATACACCACTGGAGCTGGAGTTGTGAATTTTATGAAGCCTAGAGTAACTGTGGGCACTGTAGATTACATAAAATCATTGGGGTGCCTCCCCTGAGCCTCACCACGTTGAACAAAGAGGAGAATCAGAAGATGTCTTTAGCTGAGTCTTCAGCACAAAAAGCTATTAGGGATAACCTAGGAATATTAAATAGGGTCCTTAATAATGAAGCTGTGTTTGGTGAAGTGGCACAGAAATGTGTTGAAAGGAGACTAATAACAACACTTGAATTAGCTCAATTGAATGACAGATTATCAGGTCAGACACTACGGGAAAGAGTAGAAGCATTTGTTCTGAGATTGGCTGAGTTTCTTGGTGATCTACCAGAAAAGATTGATGAATTCTTGTCTATCATTAAAGAGATCGACACTCTCATTGCTGAGAAAGCAGCCAATAATATTTCTCAAAGCTATGCTAATTGTATGTTTACTGTTTAGAAGATCTATTTATCATTA